TTTTTATGGTTGTTACCCACGTGTTGATGATCATTATGATTAGGCTTGTTGTGTACCTTGCTTGCTTTTATGTGCAGACGCCTTTGGTTTTCCACGTGACCGGGTCGAATGCTTGAAATATGTGTGTGTATCTTTCAATAAAGTTTAGTTGCGAGTTCAGTGCGGTGTCGTTTCTTCCTCTGTCCTTGTCTATATTTTTGTGCTGTTTTTACTTCCCAAGTAGAAACGAACAAAAACAGAGTAAGTGGTAGCTGCGTCAATTTTTTTCTGGTATCATATGTACGCCCTATTCGCGGTATGTATGAACGGGGACATTGATCAAGCAAACCACCATGGCACCATAGCATGTGTTTTGTCGCTCTGCTATGCTTGAGGGTGTGGGATAGATTACCGACCACAGTGGCCGTACTTCGATGTGGTAAAATACAAACAGAGCCCAAAGTGGTCACAATCTTGATACACACACTACAGCGTCCCTCGAAATGATATCTTCTTTGGCGCATGAAAGCCTAGCAATTATCGATGTTGAACAGAGACCTTTATTTTAAGCTGATACAGGCAAGCGGACAAACTGAAAACTGTGCGTTAGGTGAACTAAACGACGAGTAAAAATCGAAAACATTTGATACCTCTCTACCAAGGCATAAGTTTGGATGTTACTTAGTCACGGCTGCCAGTGAGAAAAAAAAGCTTACCACATCGGCTGACTCCTCAAAGCTAAGCTTGGAATAATCCGCTGCTTTGTTCGTAACAAGAACCCTAACTTTTGCACAAATTAAGTTAAACAGAAGCATAGAGTGTTCACCACGAGAGTATCTTTTATAATAGTTCAGAGGCGTTGGCAAATGTGCCCCTGTAGAAATATTGTCGACAACGCAGCTTCTTTTACATCCAACTGTTTATAAATGAATTGACTACCTACCTATCGTATCATTCATTTCACGCAGTGGCAGCTGATGGAGTTTGGTGGTTGTGGTCAGATGGATGGATGGATGGATGTATGAGAAACTTTGTTAGATCCTGACGTGCACTACTCAGCGCTCAGTTGGCCAGATAAAAGATTACGAATGCCGTATGTTGCATAGTAAGCTGGTTTTATTTTCGGCAAAACATCATTTAGGTTCGACTGTTTGGCCCTGGTTTCCACTGGTGGCCGTCTTCGCTATCGAATGAATATAGCAGACACACGCCAATCGGTTTAGAAATGAGCCCGACAGAACTAGACAGGACAGCGAGAGCAGAAAACACTTTGCTTGTTTGATGGCTTGAATGCAATGCGGCCTCCTCTTTCTACGTTCTCCCTTTCCTCGATATGTCTGTCCTCTTTCCACATATTGTTGCGCTTAAATACGCAGCAGTACCGCCAGCGCTCTTTGGTTTTGTATAACGATGTGCGCCTGCACTGCCTCTACTAGCCGCCACTCTTGTCTGCGGGAGCGCCTGAGAAGTGTGTACTTTGACCGCCGGGGCGACCGTGGAATTTCAGCGCTGGTTCCCTATAGACAGAATGCCGTAGCCACATAAAACATCGCTGCAATAGAAAAATTTGTTGAGTGGTGTAGTTTCAGCACAGAGAGATGAGTCCTGGCGGAGTTTGGCTTTATGACACCAGCTGAATGATGTCATGTGATGTCCAGTAGTATAATCGGTTGCGAAGAAAAAGAACATTTCTTTATCCTTGAAGTAATCTTTACTTAGTTGGGACTGCGCGAGTCTCAACTAGCGCAGCACGTCATAGCATTTGTCTACCATATCTGCGGATAAGCACAAAGGCGTATTTGGAATGTTATTTCATGAAGTACAATTTTATTCAACCAGTATTCTGTTGATTTGCTTTAAAAATATTTACTGAACAAGTTTTGTGAGAATGCTGTTACGCCTGCGAGTCCGCAGCGAACGTCCATGTCTCGGAAAAAGGAAATCTGTGTCAAGGCCAGCACGCGAGCCCGCCTGACGCGATGAACAACTCAACGGCGTCAACACGCGACGGCGGCTTTCTGTCGCGCATGTGCAGTGAGTCACGTCAGCCCGCGAGCCCGTCCAGCAAACAACCGGCGCCTTCCTGTCTGGCGGGTCTGACGCAATGCCTGGCGACGTCACTCGTCCTTGGGTGCAGCCACCTGCAGCACAGCCTCTCCAGATTCGATGAGAAAGAATGACGCGGCTCAGCGGCGACCCCATTGGAGGAGTCCGACCTCACGACCAGCGGCGCTTCTGGTTGGACATTTGGTTATTCAAAGAATCCACCCGGTGCATATAAAAGAAGCCCTGCGGCGCGTCGCGAGCAGCAGTCCTATGTGAGAGCAGACGTGTGTCGCAGCAGACCTGTTGGAGAGCAGACATGTGTGTCAGAGAAGAGAGCTATGTGATAGAGAGTTGAGCTGTGTGTCAGAGTTGAGCTATGTGTTAGCAGTAGACCTATTTGAGAGCAGACCTATGTGTTAGAGAGGAGAGCTCGGCTCTTCGGGTCTCTAAGCTGTCGGCCCCAGTGCCGAATTGGTAACGCCTCTGTATATATGCTGTACATAAACCTTGTTTAACTCACCGTCGTCTCGTCCGCTCGTCTATCAGCTCTGCGCAGAAGCAGTCGCGAGCTGAGAAACCTACGCTACCAAACGGCTTGTGACCTTCCCGGCGGAGTTCGAAGCAGTGGCGCTTTCGGGACCGTGTTGGCGTCGCCGTCTTTCGAAACAGTGGTTGCAGCGGTGAGATTCGTGTCGCCCTTCGTAACTTTGTCGAGGCGCGCGTTGCAACAATCCTCAATAGCATCACGTCATTATTTTTGCATCACCAACTCAAATGGGGGGGGGGGGGGGGGGGAGTGGTTATGTTGTAAGAAGGAAAAGAAAAGAAAAGTGAGCTTCGTAACTGTCTGCTATAAAGAGCGACACCTCAACAGTAGCTCACAAGGGATGGGGGTGAGGAGGGATTAAAAGGATAGAAATAAAGGTGGAGAGAGAGAAAGAGAGATGAGGTAAGCGTGAAAGCATGAGAGTGACGACATATTGAGGGGATAGGAGAGATATGAAAGATGGAAACACGGTCACAGGAGTCCGAGGACGGGGCACCACTTGCGAGAGCTCTTGTCGGCGTCAGGAGATGACGTAAAGCAAGTCCAGTCGGTCAGAGCTACACTGTCGTCGGAGGTCGGCGTCAGGAGATGACGTAGGGCGAGCCCAGTCGGCCAGAGCTACGCTGACATCAGAGATCGCGCATGCACAACCGGTAGGCATGGAAGCGCTCCTAAGATGATTAGCTCCATGAGATTTGCAATGAATCAAAATATTGCTAGCCGTTCACAAGAACCCCCAAATAATTATTCATGTATGTGAGTGTAAATGCAACTTGCTTCTGCTCCAAGTTAGCTGCTATAGATTTCTCCAAAATGGAAAATTTGGCTACTCTAAACTGATCATAAATGAAAATTTTGCTGCTTCAAAAATTGCTCCAAATCAGAAGACCACGGTAGCATCACTGAATTCCTGTAAATCGGCACATTCTTTACGGATTAGAGAAATTTTCGCATCAATTGAGTTTTAGGCAGTAAACTTCTATGTCGGTTGACGTGATGGTAATTCGGAATAGTGGTTCAGGACCACTTCACATAACTGTTGCCACGCTAAATAGACGTGAAAGTTCGATATTTTTGTCTTGGCTTCTATCGCCCTTGCTATTTAGAGAAGCACATTTTAGGCTGGAGAATTTGAGTTATTGTTGCTGTTTGTGCATTCTGCAATGACGAGAATTTGTCAAGCCTGATTGTTAAAGGCCTAGATGTTTGCTGAGGTGAAGATCATGTGGTAATATACCAGGTGCCAGTGTGGTTGAACTGTACAGTTTGCAAACTGTGTTTTAATAGCACGTAGCAAATACTTAATTCAATAGCTTTATTTTGACAACTTGTGCTTGCTTCCTGAAAAAAGTGGTCCATCGGGCAATATGCCTCTAAAATGGAAAAATTATTAGAACATTAAATAGAACATACATAAAATTGTGATTATGATTGTTATTCTGAATATTAGTAAATAATTCTACTGAGTAAGTGAAAGCCTATTCCTTTGTTGCTTGCTGATGAGTAAAACTGAAACGAAAATCTAGAGCGGGCTATTATCATCATTGTGGCAGTTGGCAGAGAAGTCGACAGCTGTATTCCAGATATCATAATAGATCCTACATTTTTAGCTCCACCTCTCATCTTGGCACTTCTTCACAATTGGCCTTTGTGCCATTAAACTATATATATCAATTGTTATCAACCAGAACACCAATTTGTCTTCTTTCTCTTCCCTCTTTCATGATGGTGATAGTTGCGACACCACAACAATATTATCATCATTTGTCGCCTGCTCTCTAACTATGCCAAGTAGTGCCTAATGGAATTTGTAGTGTGTTTTTGATAAAATCTCACGTAAATCGCAACAAAACGTATTATATAACTTTCAGAATTTGATGGCATATACAACTGGCGTAACGGAACTTGCACACCTTGGCGAGCTCTGTCATATAAATTTTCATTCGCGTTCACCTTGTCACCTGAAAGTGTTTTTTGTAGCTGTGCAGCACAGCATTTTACGTTTCTTCTAACTACATTGGCAGTGGGGAGGGGGAATGAGATGTGATTCACATTTTTGTTGTTGGTATGTTGGCCCATGTCACTGGAGATATGCAATATGTGGTACGTATTCTTAGGCTTGCCACTTTCTGGCGCCCTGTGTATCTCGTCCTCCATCAGCATCAGCACCTGTATAGCATCCTTCAACCCCCTAAAAAAGCACTATAGCAGAGCTTCCAGTAGCTGTCGCATGCAGGCATTTCATGCATGTGGTGTTACTGCTTAGGGTAAATACTCCGGCAAAGCTTTGCCTTATAAAGAAAAAAGTTTTGTGTTTTATGGGAAATGGTGTATTGAATCGACTATTGAAATATTATTTTGAGTCTTGTGAATATTTTGTGACTTAGTTTAGTTGTTGATGTGGGCTACTATGTTTATACTATTTCAGGCTGCACAAGATCGAAACAAGCCTCCTGAGAAATTTTGTGAATCGCTTAGTGACAATGCTCTGACAAGAGAAGTGCATCAACCATCACAGCCTTGGAAAGATGCTGTAACATCTGTGAAGTGTCCTCGCGAGGCTCGTGAGGTAAGGGTTGCTGTGAACTTTCATCCTTTTAAAGCAAATTTCGAATAAAGGGCTATGATAAGCAGCAAGGTAAGTTATTCTTTTGGTTGCATACCATTCATACTATGCGCTTTATGAATTGTTACGATGTGTATTTATCTGTTTATCATCCCTTATGTGTCAACATTTAGGGTCGTGTAAAATGTATCATTTATATTATATAGTTAAAACATTAGTGCTTCATTATGTCACATTCTTGGTCACACTACATACATAGTAGCATTTTATTTGTGCATTGGTTTTAGCACAATGCCATTGCTCTCAATCCAAAACACTGAAAATTAATAGAGCTTTCTTTTTTTTAAAATACATTTCCTAAAAACATTAATACAGCCAAAGCTGTATATGGCTTGGCAAAATGAAAATCCGTTCGCCATAATGAACAAAACTAGTGTCCATTGGCTGTGCTGTCAGTTACATCATTCTATGTCACCCCAAGCATGTGCACCATTGTCAGCGCCACTGTTTGCAGCCATGCTGCTGAGCCCGTGCACAGCACTTTTAACATGGGAAGGGCTCGGACAACTTCTACATAGAAAGGGCACTCATAGTACAAATGCCCGAACAGCAGACAACTTTTCAAGAACAGTGCCGACAGTTGATCTGTGAGATAATTCATGTTCACCAGGCTGATGTGGCAATCCGAGCATTTTTGCAGCTGTAACTCGCGTATCACATTTGCAGCTCTCACCCCAACCCTTTTGCAATATGCATAGCACCTATCTCTTTGACAGCGCACTTGGTGTAAAGCGTATACAGTCGAACCCCGCTACAACGAAACTGACGGGCGCGGGAAAAATTTCGTTGAAGCAAAAATTTCGTTGTAGTGAAATTGAAACAATATAGCTGATCTGAGCTAGCAAAACAAAGAACCGCTGCTTGCTATTCTTTCCCAGCAGCGTCACGACATGATTCTCACCCATGCATAGCAAGGCCATGCTGAAAAGCACGCTGAAACAACGCCTAAAACCGCCTTCGTGAACGAACCAAACAGTTGCATTAACACGTTAACACCAGCAGCTGTCCGCCATCAAAAGTATTCGATAACGCCGAGATGGAGGCAGGGTATCGGGGAGCGGCGACTTTTGCATTATCTATGCCATTCTTATCATCCATCACTCGCGGCTAGCTGTTTTGTCGATAATGCGGACGAACATCTGCTCTGATTAGTTACCACACTGGCCAAGCGCAAACGCAATGATAAGCATCGGAATCGAAAAAGGCATCGTTCCGTGGTTGCACCCAGCAGCTGCGTGCCCCGCCGCGGTGGTCTAGTGGCTAAGGTACTCGGCTGCTGACCCGGACCCGCAGGTCGCGGGTTCGATTCCCGGCTGCGGCGGCTGCATTTCCGATGGAGGCGGAAATGTTGTAGGCCCGTGTGCTCAGATTTGGGTGCACGTTAAAGAACCCCAGGTGGTCGAAATTTCCGGAGCCCTCCACTACGGCGTCTCTCATAATCATATGGTGGTTTTGGGACGTTAAACCCCACAAATCAATCAATCAACCCAGCAGCTGCGTGAAAGAAACCATCGACTGAGCATCAGCTTCGGTTCTTCTGCGGCTCAAAAGCAAGCCAGTGGCTAAAGCAGGGCAGTTGTAGCAGTCTCATTGCCATCGCTATCGAGCAATGACGGCGCCCATGCTTGCTGAACAGCGGCGGTATAGCGGCGGTTTCTGGTCGTGCCAACGTGTGTTTTGGACTTCGTTTATGCATATTCAGGCTCTGAAAATGCATCAAAATGTTAAAAATTGGGTTTACTGCATAGAAATAAGTATCTGTGCTTGGAATTGCATTGTAGAATTTCGTTGAAGTGGTACGATCAAAGAAAAAGTGCTTGTTGTGCCGACAATATTTAGGCATTGACTCCTATGGACTGCTGACGGGGAACCGTGAATTTTTCGTTGTAGCGGAAATTTTATTGAAGCAGTGTTCGTTGTAGCAGAGTTCGACTGCAACAGATGTGCCGATTGGGCCAATTTTACACTATTCCTTACTTTTGCGCCAAGCTGAGCCAGAACCGAGAAATTTGTTGAAATCGCACCACGCAGTGCCAAAACAGTCAACAAGCCGTAAAATTTTCTTTGTGCTGTAAATTTTAGTAAGAGACGAACACGTTAACACTTTCAGTTCACGCATCATCATCCAATCTAATCCAGAAGTGCATACCATAACGTTAACGTAAAGTTCACTATACAACTTCCCAGCAAAACAAAAGCAAAAAAAAAAGTACAGTGGTTCTAAAGTTTCTTGGCCTTGTTCTGTCAGGTACAGAATGTTTTTAAGCCACTTCTGATGCAGTACACCACTACTATGCGGAAAAGCATGCCATGATTTAGAAGGGGCTACTAGTACTTGCTGTCACAGGACACACATTTTGTTCAATTGCTAATACAGTAATACCTCGTTAACTTGAACTCACATATCTCAAAAGATCGACTAAGTCAAAATTTTCTGCGGCACAGAACATCTTCCTATAAATCCTGCGTATATTCTTCTCTTTATCTCAGAAGTATTTTTGTGTCCGATTGCGGATAACTCGAAATCTTGACTAGGGGTGGAACAAAAATTTCGCTGCTGGACCATTTCACAAGGTTCACGCGACGCTGAAGTCCATCGATTTCTTTTTTTCTTGTTTAGCCGCATCTTCCGCTATGTTGATGCATCTCTAATGGGAAGTGCACGAAGTCTCAGCTCAGTAACATATTAACTTTGTCAAGCAACCCTGTGGTGCATCATGTGACACATGCACTGAGCAGGGTGGTCATCTGCCCACGCTTGGCGCAGTTTGTCTCGTTCGCTTTGTGCTGTGTACATTATTTTGTCTGAGGTGAGATTTCCGTTCATCTGCGCAAGCCACGCGGTATGGATTTTTCGCTGACTGTGATTGCAGTGCTTGTGATTTTTCCTGAGGGGTGACTTCCATTAATATGCGTGAACCGGCGGTACGTATTTTTCGCTGACTTTGAGAATCGGTAACTTAGAGTGAGTGTGGCAGGCATGGCGTCAGAGCAGTGCAAGTCGCTAATGCGAAAAAAAAAAAAAATGTTGCCCCTGATTAAGGAAGTGGAGAAAGGAGGCTGAACGAAATCTACTGTCGCACAGTAGTTTGGCATTCCTTTGTCCATCGCTTTCGACGGTGCTGAAAAAAAAGCTGAAGGTGCTGGATGGATTTCAGCAGAGCTCCAGCCGGCGGGGGCAGGTTCAATGGTTGAAGTTACCAGACGTTCAAGCGGTGTTGATGACATGGCTTGGAAATAAGGCCGAGTGCAGCAGTGAGGAAGATCGACTGATGCGATGCATCAAGCAGCTGGAGGACTCCATCCTAGGCTCGAGTACGACCGCAAAACAGACGAGCATTAGGCAGTTTATCTCTGCTAAATAAATTGGCAGCGCAGCAAAACCCAGCCAGTTAAAGTCTCTTGTATGTTATTTTTTTCCCTCTTTTAAACCTGCACGAGAACAAAGATAAACTGCCGCTTAAGAGCTGGTGAGTAGTAGTGATTTTTTTTTTTAAAGTGCTCATTTTTCCCAATGGTTAGCGCAACTTTGCTTATCCAGAAATTCCATTTATCTCGAAATTTTCTCTGGTTTTTATGACTTCGAGTTAATGAAGTATTACTGTATGTGCACACGCCATTTAGTGAACTTGTATAATGGCAAATGTTTAAAAAATTACTGCAATCGTTCACAGTAGTGTATGATGTTTCTGTGGCCTTGAGAAACAATAAGCAAAATCATGCACTTGTTTTCATTTTCACTGCCCTCTCTTCTCCTGCTTTATCAGTCCCCAGAATTTCGAGGTCGCCAAATCATCATATTCATGATAACGTACGCTGCGCAGCACCTGTCATATGGTTTGACAGGCTCTGCCAATGTGGACTTCGACATTGTTAGCACTGTGTGATGGTCCTAATGTCCATAAGTATGCTGCAAATGAAATGAAAATGCCATTTTTCGTGGCATTGCATTTCTTGAATATTGCACCTTGGATATTTTTACACCACAAAACTACAAAGAAGGCATAAGTGTGGCAAGTTTGGCAGGCTGGTAAACTGGGTAGCGCATAAGACACAGATACATAAGATAGAGTAGCACTTGTCCTTGTGCTGTCTTGTGCTTGTGCTTGTGCATCTCTGTCTATTGTGTCCGTGTTTTATGCGCTACCCAGTCACAACATGTTGGTCGAAACATCGGCGTCTCTCATAATCATATGGTGGTTTTGGGACAATACACCCCACATATCAATCAACCAATCACGACATGAAAGCTATAATCAGAAATGTTTATTGTTCCACTTACGGACATTGCATACTTCTTTCGGAGCTTTAAAGAGGTGGTGCCACCAAATTTTGAGGCTACCCCAAGCCTTTTGTGGGTTTCCTCTGTATGCAAGGACTCTCCACGTGAAAGGTTGGACACAAGAAACGCGTAAAATATATTTTAATTCACTTCTAAAAGTGTACCTGAAGGCTCACTCTCACGATCTAGTCCCATCGCTTGCGCAGGAACACTGACGTTTTAGAATAGGAGAAGCAACGGCAGTTGTCATGACGTCACACAGTTTTGTAGTGACGTGAGTGACCTCCGCCATCTCCGAAATGAGGCTACTGTTACGAGCGTGCTGGCGTCCCTTGCGGATAGACTGTGCGCGTTGCTCGAGGACACTGGGTGCTTTCGAAGAGACACTACGCTTCATTTACTGACAACAAAGGCATCCGTCAGAGCAACGCCGACTAAATTTCAAGGCCGAAAGGCTGCCGCAGTGACGTCAGAGGTTGGGGGCCCAGTTGCCCAACTGAGCATGCTCAGTAAGACTTTTTTTCCACATCTTTTATTCGGCCCAATCAAGCCGCAGCAGCTGCGAGAGCGGGAGCGTTGGTTCTCCTAAAACGTGAACGAAACACGGGCTTTGCGCCACGTTCGCGGCGTAACTGGGCCCCCACCCTCTGACGTCACTGCGGCAGCCTTTCGGCCTTGAAACTTAGTCAGCGTTGGTCAGAGACGCCGCGCACGTCCAACAGCGGGGCTGCCCCCTCCTCCTTCAGCGTACTGTACATACATTGTAAACATAAACGCTTTGTTTTCTTCCGGCTGCCTTTTGCCTTGGCAGTGCCTGGATGCTACTGCAGGTGGCCACGACGACTGTCAGCGCGTTTCTTCTGCTGGTGCTTCTGTGGCACATCTGTGAGAGCAGATGAAACTCAGCACGATGTACGTCACAGTCTTGTGTGGTCACGTTACCAAGCCACCTATGCATTGACATCACTGCTCAACTCGGCGCCGCGAAACCGAAACAGAAAATGGTCCACATAAGTGGAGCACCATTAAATTCTTTAGCGAAAATACACGAATCTTGGGGCGTGTATAATGTTTCCTGGAGCTGAAGGAAATGCTCACAGCAAAGAACACGCATGCCACAAATTCAGTGGCACCACCCCCTTTAAGGTCGCCCCGCCGTGGTGGTCTAGTGGCTAAGGTACTCGGCTGCTGACCTGCAGGTCGCGGTTTCGAATCCCGGCTGCGGCGGCTGCATTTCTGATGGAGCCGGAAATGTTGTAGGCCCGTGTGCTCAGATTTGGGTGCACGTTAAAAAACCCCAGGTGGTCGAAATTTCCGGAGCCCTCCACTACGGCGTCTCTCGTAATCATATAGTGTTTTTGGGACGTTAAACCCCACAAATCAATCAATCAATCACCCCTTTAAGGTTCCTTCTCTGTGCCGTTCATGGGATGATAAGAGATACAATGCCAGCAAACACTGGTGAAAGTTCCCCATGTGGGTCTGGCATTAGACTGAAGGAGGCTTACCTTTATTTGAAGCTGTATATTCACTTCTTTTTGTATAGGGCACAAAGAAAATCACATTGTGCACATGGGTATAGTAAAAATTACAGAGAAACAAATAGCACTGCCTGTTCTGACACCTCCAGGGCTCGTGTATTTGCCTTTATCTATGCTGTATTAAAATGATTTTGCTTAACGTGCACTGTACATGAAAATGTAATTTAGTCAACATAGACTACGAAAAAGAAGTGCTCACATTTTCAGAAAACTGCCTGTGTTCTTGGAGGTGTGTCTCCTTTTTCCCACTGCTGAGGGCTGCAGTCTTGGTTTGGTTCGAAAGCTCATGGTTTCACCTGTTGATTCCCTCCCATCTTGCTTGTGGATGTGTAGGAAAAAGGGGGAGGGGGGATTTAAGGCTAGTCTGATGAAATTAAATAGGAGTGCGAACCTCTGATTGGCAGTTCCTATTGCAGTTTGTGCGCTGAAGAAACCAGCTCAATGCTGGCCTGAAGGCCTGAATGGAAAACCCTATTACATGACCATGAACATTGGCAAACTGACTTTCAATTTGATAAGTTTTAAAGTGGAATTGTGAAAGGAGAGCCAAGTGTAGTCTTTATCTAGTTATACTGTGGTAGATAAGAGGCATACGGTTATGTCAGTGCAAATACCCTAAGTAGTCAAAGTTATCCAGAGCCCTCCACCAATGTGTGCCACATAATCATATAATCACATAATCAAAGATAACATTGATGAAACACACGTTCGGATCAAGCCATTCTGGTGAAATTAGATGTATAGTCGTTGTATACGAATATACCTATAACTGAGGAAATTGAAGCGGTGTCAAAGTCACTCATAGAAAGCAAGCAGACACATGCTGAAGTTTACTTCTCACTACTTGAATTAGTCCTGATGCTTAATTATTTTGAATTTTATTCGGCCTACTACCTACAATGTTATGGCACTAGTATGGTAATCCCTTTCGCCCCAACATACGCCAACATTCTTATGGGACACTTAGAATCAGAACTGTTGATATCATCTCCAGCAAAGCCTTCTACCTATCTCCACTACATAGACAACATATTTATCATATGGGAACATGGCATAAGTCCACTAAACGCATTCATTGATCACTGTAACAAGTTTGACTATAGTATTAAATTTACCATGCACCATTTTCCCAATTAGATTAACTTCTTAGACTCGACAGTATCTATTGAAGCAGGAAAACTAAAGACGATGCTTTACAGAAAACCGACAGACAGCCAACAATACCTTCATTACACTAGTCACCACTTGCGACGCTGCAAACAAGGTATATTTATTAGACAAGTGAGGCGTATGAGAAGAATCAGTAGTGACAATGTTGAATACGTCCACCACTTAACTAACCTAAAGGAAACATTAGTTTGCAAGAAATTACCCACAAGACACACTAAACAAGGTCTACAATGAAGCATGTGAACTAGATAGGAAAAGAACTCTACTTGAGAAAAAAAAAAAAACCCTTAGCACAACCCAGCCAGCCGCCAGCATTTATAACCAGACACTCAAATGCACTCGCAAACATAAATAATATCCTTCCTAAGTATTATTCAATACACTTAAATCTCAATATAACAAAAACCGGATATAATGAAATATTGGTCATAATGAAGTAAACGAAAAATAGTTTTGCAATAGATATAGTGTTAGGAATAAACCTTTATTACAAATTTTCAGATATAACAAACTTATTTTCGTGTAATATGCAACTTTGTTATAATGAGGTTTGAGTGTACTGGCAAGCAGCGAGCACCTTAGAAAAGCGTTTCCCGATGTACCAAAGGTCGTGTATCTTTGCAATAGGAATTTTAAGGACATGTTAGTGCATGCAAAAGTAAACTCTCAATCTACTGCCCAAGTAACACCTTGCTCCCATCCAAGATACAAGACTTGCAAACACCTTCAAGACGACACGATAGTTAAAAGCATTGGGAGTGATTATGCCCATCAAAATAAAATCGTTCTACCTGCACTAGTGAAAACGTAATCTATATGATCGAATGTTCATATTGTCATAAACAGTACATTGGCAAAATAGGGCAGCCTGTTAATGTTAGATAAATCGGTCATCGGGTGGACACGGCAAAGAAGTTACCAAAAGCAGTGGCACAGCATTTTAATGTAGCAGGACACAACTTCAACGATCTCAAACTCTACATACTTCAAACTTCCAATCCCCAAAAGACAAAAAATATACAGTCGTACCTTATTCGCAAGTTCAATACACTCCAGCCAGTAGGTATAAACGTTTCTAAAGGGGCTGTTCAATATGGTACATACACAAAGAAAACCACCGAGAGTTAAACCTTCAGTCTAGGAATTTCAAATCTGCCAATTTCAAATTCTGACAGCCGGGACTCAGCGGCACCTGTACATCCTCATGTCCCTACCTTTTTCTTGTTTTCTTTTTATTCACGGAATACCTGTTGCTGCTTCACTCATACAATTCGTCCAGCCTTCACGTGTAGTTGCAGCCTTCACATGCAGTTTAAGGTATTGTAAATTCTGACAATCGTGAAATTTCAGTAATTTTATATTGAGTCTAAAGATATGCGGTGTTTGACAGTGATCAAATTATGACCTGCAAAAATTATGTTCAGGGTCTTGTACTTCATTGCTTCAAGGTCAACTTGAATACATCTGTTGTATATGTATCAACTGTGCCGTGTTTTCTTTCCTGTTTTTTTTTTTTTTTTTCAGCTGTATACAGTAGTCCGCAATGTGAAAAAGGCCTATCAATGCCATGAATCAGGAGAAACAAAAGATTTCAATGATGACATTGATTATCTACTGGAGGGAGTGCAGCCTAGCAATCCCATTGGAGCTAGATGCCTGAGGTAAAGCGAAATATTTTTCTTCTAGTTGCAGAAGAGTAAAAAGTGAAAAAAAAAAAAGCTTTCAGTTGCCTATAAACTCTGTTAGAGACAGAGAGAGTTGAGCATGATTTCATGCAGGTTTTGCACTAGTCTACTTTGTTGACATGCATAATTTTGCAGTTAAACAGACAATAGGGTGTAAGAGACTGCAGCGTGCATACATAGAAAATAGGGTTGATCTGAATATACGAACATGGTACCCTTCTTGTGAGAGGCATCTTGTATAAGGGACAAGAACTGCCCCTGGTGTATCTCTCACATAAAGGGTCTCAAACCTGCTGCAGTTGCTTGGCAAACAGGCTTTGCTTGAAGCTATTCTTCATAAATTTTATTTATCCATTTATTTCCAGTGTTGTTGGCTTGGCATCTAAGTGCATGGTTCCAGCATTCCGGATGCACTTACGAGCTCATGGAATTGTGTGCAAATTCTTCAGTGCCTTAGCTGATGCTCCTTTTGACCCAGTGAGTTTCAATGTTTACTTTTTTTTTCCTTCTGCATGCTTATGAGGTTATGTAAGAGTAAACTCCACGCTGTTAATAAATGTTGTAATATAACATATGGTCAACGTGATATGCATGAGAAGTTTGGAAGTAATTTAGAAGTCATAGTGCTTCAGCACATTTGTTAGGTAGTTCATTTGTGTTTTTGACTGATCTGTGCTGTTTGTACTGGGTGAAAGTGTCAACTGTTTTTGCTCTAGCATGTCTTGAATAGCAGGCATCTGCAATTAACGCTCACAAATGATATCTTTAACACACAAATAGTTTCCAGAAAAGTGTACTTTCTTAAACTTTGTTTATACTCGGAGACAACTTTCTGTCGCAATGAAGGGAAACCTACAAGAGCGGAGCTACTGCACATGCACTCTTCCGCGAAGTCGTTCGGTTCGGCTTGTGTTTTGAATGACGGCAGTGTTGGAATAATGCCACTGCATAGAATACGCTACGTCTGCTTACACAGCCATTTGTGAGTAAAATTTCTATGGTGAGTCATCTAAATAACTGGAAGGTGACGACTGCACCTAAAACAAGCTACGCCTTGAGATGTGCAAAAATGTGAAATGACACTTGATAAAGCAAAACAAATAATATATTCTTGCTTCGTGCAGTGTGTCTTAATAAACAGCATCCTGTAGACAATTATGTTTTTTTTTATGATTTTTGCAATGAAAACTCAGATAAATTTGTGGGACTATGTTCTTCAGCGGTGACACATGTCCACTTTGGTTCCATAGCCTTCCCTTCATTTCCACAGGACCTTGTCCCCAAGTACCGTATATACTCGCATAATGATCGCACTTTTTTTTTCGAAAAGATTGACTCCAACTTTGGGATGCGATCATTACGCAGGGTAAATTTTTTGTGCAAAAATATTCCGAGCATCGAAAACGCAAAAAAGTCACTAATCAGAATTTTTACAATAGCTATCATGAACGTAACCAAAAATGAAGGTAAATTAAAGCTTACCTTTGTAATAAAATGCACGCATTACACAGGAGCTACATGCATGGCACACTGTACTTTTATTTTTTACCTCTCTGACCCCCTAACGTTTATTCAGACTCCGAAGGGTCACTGGCGTCAGTGTCGTCGCCGCACGATTCCCTGTCGGAACCGGCAGTGTCTTCTCTGTCCCACAGGGGGTCATCTTCCGTTCCGTCGAGCGCGTTGGAAATGCCAGTCTTTTTGAAGCTCTTGACGACCACCTCGTCAGAAATGGTTTCCAATATCGGATCTGAATTTCGTCGACGCCGAAATGTCTGCCGGCAGCGCTATTGCCGTGCTCTAGCGCGTAATCAAGCGCCTTCAGCTTGAACGCAGAAGTAAAGGCGCGTTCAGCTGCCACAGACATAAAAACACATGGTGGGCATTCAGTGAAAACTGCGGCATTCGCCGTTACTGCAATCCTAAATGGCATGCTTCTGTTAACGATGGGCAAAAATTAAAAATATGTTTGGTGCGTGCAGTTGGCGAGTTTTGAAGAGTTATTAACTCAACATTCGACAGATAATAAAGGTGATGATCATCTGCTAGGCGTGGCACACGGCATATCGATGCGGCAAGTTCGAGGTGCGATCATTACGCGGGGGAAAAAAAAATCGAATTTAGACGACAAAATTTAGGGGTGCGATCATTGTGCAAGTAAATATGGTATAGGCACTAGTCATAATGTTTGGGATGTCAATCTTTTGTTTCTAAAAATATCTTGCCTGATCTGTCTCTGGTTGGGATTAACACACAATTAAAATAGAAAAATAAAGCTGCATCATGGGGCAGCTTTTCCTAACTGCATATTATAATCTTCATTATCATCAGCCTGGTTGTGCCCACGCAGGGCAAAGGCCTCTGCCATGTTTCACATTCAGGGTGACGAAAAGAGAGAGAAAACACTAATCTTGGGTGATTAGATAAATTTTTGCTCCAGGATATTCGTGAGGCAACAGAGTCTTATATGTCATTCTGGGATAACTCAGAAGAGTGTTTTAGGGTTCTGTTATGTATCAAAGGTTTATCTATTGCAGTCGGAAGGTTGTAGTATCTATGCAATGAACAGCTGGTCTTCAGTAATGAGATTTTTGCTCTCATTCATACCAGAAGGGTTGCAAGAGGGAACGACATGCTGGTGTGTGTGTGTGTATATATATATATATATATATATATATATATATATATATATATATATATATATATATATATATATAGGCAGGCAGGCATGGTGGTTGAGTAGCCGTAGCGTTGCATATAGTCCAGTAGATCCTCCGTGAGCGGTCACAACGTGGTTTATTTCTACGTTTCGGCCTAGAGTCTGGCCTTCATCAGGATTAAAAGATTAATCCTGATGAAGGCCAGACTCTAGGCCGAAACGTCGAAATAAACCACGTTGTGACCGCTCACGGAGGATCTACTGGACTATATATATATATATATATATATATATATATATATATGTATGTGTGTGTGTGTGAAGAAGTTTTTCTAATGGGCCAAACGTACTTGGGAAGAAAAGAAACACAACTTAGCGGTTGTCTTATTTTGACTGGACCGGTCTTCCTCAGGGTTTGCGAACAAGTGGGTGACATTGTGTTCAATGGCTCCTTGCCACTTTAAGTGTCGAGCTACGTAGAAGCACATGTGTTATTTAAATTTTGCTGTACTTTTCTTACAACAGAGTAATATATATATATATATAGCATGGAAGAAGTAAGGTATTTCTTTGTCCACGTCATATGAGCTGTTTTACTTCATGAATGAATAGTTGCCTAGTTATTAAATAGCATTCATGATGCGCAGTGTGCTTTAAGGTCTGGCTACTATTATAGACCCTATTACAGCTCAAGTTATTACATAATAATTTGTCATTTCTAAAAAAATTTCATGATCTACAATGTTATAGACTGAGCTAGTGCATACATTAATACCTTATGCATACAAGCAACACGAGTGAACATGGCAGGACCTCTTCAGGTTGCTAATTCGTACAAGGTGCACGCAGGTTTTTGAAATCCTTAAAAGGCTGGAAATTATTATTCTCCTTTGACAACTCATAAATTTTATGAAAGTAAATTCTTGACTATGCGACCTACTTTCTGTGTAGATAAATGTGGGTGTGGCAAACTAATGTGGGTGTGGCAAACTCTCAATTTCAAAAACTGTAGAACAGTGGAACTTGAATGTCTCATATCTGGAGGTGATCACATAGTAGTTTGATCTACTGCTAATTTAGTGTTACAGATGAAAGCACATGGTAAACCGCCTTTTTTCACGATGCGACGGCACATGCGCATTTGCCTTGCGAGAAAGTCGTTAAACGCTTCCTCGTCTCATAGGCTTTGCTTCTGGCAATACTGGTTTTCCCGGCTCCTACCGAAATCCTTCCAAAACTACAGAGGGCAGCACACGAAAATGGAAGGGGTGGGTTCAGTGTCATAGATGTTACGCACAGGAAGTAAGCTTCACTGCATAGGTACTATTACTGCTATTTGTGTTTTGCCTACTGTGACCACCTTCTTAAACAAGTGAAATGCAAGACATGCTGACCGTGGGGTGGGAGTGGGGAATTCACATGGCACGATGGACATAAAACTGAATTCAAAAGTTCAACAGCTGAAAGAATAGTCACTTACTAAACAGCTGTGGTTTCATTAAGTCTGAAAAGCAGGACATTTTTTATGATTTTAATATATCTTGCCGTGCATGGGACAATAGTCCTCAATGTACGATGTGTGATTTGCCGCACTACAGTACAGTTTAGCTTAGTTCAGCAAATTAATCATTATGGAAGGCAAATAAGGCAATGCTCTATATATTGAATTCGATACTTGCATTCTGCTCATTTATGACATGCAATTCTCAGATTCAATGTCTTATTTATAAGGTAGCATATGCAAAAAAAGATAGTTGCGCTCCATGGGCAAAACAATGAATACATTAGCAACAAACTAAAATGTTATACGAATTGAGGCTAGCAGCTAACTCCTTCAGCATCTGGCCTAGGGCAACTCAATAAATTGCCGGCATAAGGAAAATTTCTATGGCACCTTTGTTCTGCAAACAGCACGTACGAAGGTTTGAGCTGTCTGCTGATTCCTGTCAAGACGGGGCACGCGCGCCCATGCTCGACTGATTAAGATACCTGCTGCAGCTACTCAGGCCCCACTTGGGGCACCCCATGGGCCTTTGATGTGACAGAAGACGGCAGCTAGGTTTTAGATCTACTTAAAGGAATATGATTTGCAATTTTTTATCATAATCTGGGTTATATCATTCATTTTTGAGCATTCAGAAATAAGCTGGGGAAATTCTAGTCCGTTTGGCCTTGCACTTAATTTATAATTGAATATCTTTACAAACATGCGAGCGGCCTGAGATTCTGGCAACATTGGTGTACTCGCCTCTTAGTCTTATATTTTCATTTTGCCTGATCCGGCTTAGCCCCTTGATCTCCCGCTTCAAAGAAAAGAGGCAGTAGCAGTCATCATCAACATTGTGATGTAACGAACTACTAGCTGTGCAAGCATCCGGATTTTGACTGACAATATTTTTCCGTGGCCAGAAGCACATGAAAGGGAAATATTTGAGCATTCTTCTGCTCGGCACTGAAACTGGGCTGTTTGCAGCGGCTGAAACTGTGGTACGAGACCACGGCACCGCTGCTTGCTTCACGTGACGTCATAGGCACCGTGGCACAATGACGGTCGCTAGTAGTGGGTGGGATTTACCGCTGGCAACTTCTAGGACAGGACCTGTTTTGCACTGAAGTGTTGTTTTACCGCGCACTTTTCATATATGCATAGGCATAATAAACCATCTGCTTTTAGTTTTCTTTAAAAAACGTAAATTGTTGAGTCACCGTGTCATGGCCCCTTTAAGCCACAATCGTTGGCTGCCCTTGGGCGGTTTCACTCGGTTTCACTTTCACATAAAAAATACGGCATGGGGAGCGATGTCATTGCCTTTGGACATGACGGAGAATCTCGCAGAGGGGGTGATAAAAATGCCCCTGGAATGTGCATATAATTGCTGTCACAATAAAATAGTAGTGTTGTTTTGGTATAAATAATTCAAGCTGCATGAGATAGTAATTGTTCTGCCATTCGGAAATGTCACTCACAGAGGCACAGTATCGATATAAAAAGTAATTGGAAACATTTTTTTGTACTACATGCATAGTGTACAGTTTTCTATTTTTGGACAGTGTTTCACTAGGGTATTACAGCTATTCTATATAAACAATTCCCCGTACCTATGCTTGATATACCTGAGTTTGAATGTTTAATAATTGAAACCTCTACAAGTACATGTATAGAATTTGAAAACCCCACAGTGGGAGAGAGTGACACCAGGGCTTGGTGCCCTGTTTCCTAGCATTTGTATACCCATTAGTTTGCCATCTCCTCCTCTGGCTTATCTTTTGGGGAGGAGACTTCATGCCACAGCCTCCAGCACTTCAGTGCTTGCCTTTTTTCTTCTCTTTATCCATGAAGCAGTGCAAAAAAGTCAAGTTTATACAACTCATGCCAATATTTCTTTGTGGAATATTTCGGACGGTAAAGCCGGAAAATTTGTGAACATCACCAAAGACAGTATAAGAGAGTTCCAGCAAAGCTGGATATTTGCAGCATAATTTAGACAGTAAAACTGCTGAAAGTGTGGTAAAAGCATTGCTGCTGTAAAGAAGGGAACATGGGATGTAGTTTTACATCTTTGGAAAAGCTTTGGCAGTGTCTTGAAAGTTCTTGAATACCCTTGAATTTTAGTCCCTGAAATCTGTAGCCCTGTTGTGAATTATCCTTCGTTTCTGGGGCATGATTGGTACTCAGGACTATTACTTACACTGAGGCCTCTTTGAAGTTTTTTTAAACATTCTCTGAAGTTTCTTTAAACATGAAGCTGACTAGAAAACGAGAGTTTTTCAGAGACTATATTATAATTTTTAATGTTTGTAAGCTTAGTATGGATGCATCGCTGTGTAAACAGTGTGTTATCATAGGTCGGCTGTTGAAATGAACTCGCCAAGATTTTTTTGAACGGTGAGAAAGGTATCAGCATGCGGATGATCGTAGAAGCAATGTCGGAGAGGACTCCAGACACGGAGAGCCAAGTTCGGTCGTTCACAAGGTGGTGATGCCACACGCTGATGTCCAAATTGAAGTACGAGAAGTCCGAATCGATTATCGGTTGAACGACGTCTACGATGACGAAAACCCACTGGGAAATGCTGCGCAGGCCAAAGTTAAGGGTGAGAGATCGGAGTCCATAGGTCACTATTGCCGAGACTCTGGCAACACGAAGCGACTGCCCAGGTCACTTTGAATGGTTAGCCTTAGTCAGGGGCACAACGCCAATTTTTGCACCAGTATCTATAACTAACTTGGCGCCGAATAGCTGGTCTGTTACCATGAAAAGGCAGTTGGGACGAGAAGGGAAATCACACGCTGCCATCAGTGATCCTGGTGATCGTTTCCCGGCCACGTACAGGGATGTTTGCACCTCGTGGCTCATCCAAAACGCTGGTGGTGGAGGGCTGGGATTCCAAGATTCTCGTGTGCGTGAAAGAGCTCAATGACTGGAACGAGGTGAATTAGTCTCCTGGAGGGAGCTTCGGAGTGTAGCAATTGGGGCGGGGAGTTTATCGATTGGGGCCTCAAGTCGCAAGCTGTGTCCGTTGGTGGGGAGACAGCGTTCACAGATGGGGCGGTCGTTTAATAAACCGTATCAGCAAGATCCGCCAGTCGGTTGAGGTTCACGTTACCGGCCGCCGCAAGGATGAGGTGGATTGGCTGGGAAAAGCATTGGAGGAAGAGCTCGCGAAGCAGCGCTGAGTGGGTTGATATGTCATGCTCCTCAAGAAGGTGTCGCATTTGGTGGAGTAGTTGGGTGGAGCACCTGTCGCCTTGAGCAAGGAGCTGCTCAAAGTGGATGCGCTCTGATGGCATAAATCGCTTCAGCACCTTGGTCTTAAGGTGCTGATACGGCATAGTGTCTGAGGGATCGGAGCGGACATCAGAGAGCTCACTGACAACATCAGGAGGAAGGACTGAGGCGACGTGGTAGTAGTGTGTCCTTTTTGAAGCGATGCGATACAGCGAGAATCGTGCCTCTACCTGGTAAAACCAAACTTGGGGGTTCTGTGGGCAGAAAAATGGGAGACGCAGTTGGACCATTGAGACGTCCTGCAGACGTGAGGCTTGTTGAGGAGCTGAGGGCACATTCGGATCAGTCATTCTCTGGGTTACCACTTGTAGGCTTAAGTCACTGGAGCGAAGGAGATACCTGGAGGACAATCGATGCCAGCAGGGAACATGGGCCTTGGCTTCGCGTGTCTCTGCCAAGTTTTTATTTTATTCCTTTTGCAATCCTGTGTTCTCCGTTTCGCACGCTGTCCCTACGAGGGCGCTCCAGATTTTTAGTTTTGTCCTGACAAATGTAAGAACAAATTGTAATGATTTGTTTGATCATTCGCAGCCCTCTTGAGATTTGTTACTCTAGAAAAAAAGCAAACTTGGATAAGAATTTTTAGCTAGAAGCTTTGCTGTAGGCTTAGAATTCAAATACGAAGTGATGTAAAGCTGACCAAAATTAGTTATTAATTTTATATAGGCAAAAGATGAGCTCTTGTAGCATGGCCATTTTAGTTTTTATTATACAATCGAACCACTTTATAAGAGACATTGATGTAACGAAAAATTGGGTTTAAGAAAGACCAGTGTGCCTACACTGAAAAAGGGGTTAATAAGCAAATGCATACATAGATAGTATCTTGCTTATGAGAGACACCTCAGATAAAAGACAAGAATTGCTGTCTGGTGCATGTCGCTTATAAAGCAGTTCAGCTGGGATAAACGCTCTGTGTGCACTCTAATGCCCTCTTCACTTTGTCTTTGCAGAGCCTGTCTCTGTGCACAGCAACGTTGTTCTTTGTCCTGAGCCAGGACCGTCTCACTATGGACCTGGACGCATCTACACTGTCTCTGATGCTGCAGTTGTTTGAGTCGGACACGCAGCAAGGAGATGGTGGCTTGACTAGTACTCGGAGCTCTTCCTCTGAGCTTATTGAGAGGCATCGTGAGAAGGTGCAGCAGCTTTGTGAACAGATGCAGCAGAAGGGTCACGCCAAGCACCTAAATCTCAACAGAGTCAATGTGAGGACGTTTCTCATTTCAACTTCTGTGTGCACGCTCACTATTGTTATGTGGTACAGTCAAACCTCGTTAGTACGCACCCGCTTCAAACGTACCGTATTTACTCGATTCTACCGCGCCCTCGATTGTAACGCGCACCCGATTTCCACGACGAAAAAAAAAAGAAAGACATCGATCGCAACGCGCACCCATTTTTCTCGCTGGCCCGCATTATCACACCACTCGAAAAAACGACTCCTTTTGGGAGCGTCTTCCATTTAAATATGAAATACGGGGGAAGCTTGTGCCCATCTGACGTGTAACAGAGCATTGCCGTCACTGTAGTTTTACCATGGACCGATGTCAGCACGCGAACTTGCTTCGCCCCCTTCTTCTCGACGGTTGTGGTGCCAGGCATGTCGAAGTAAAGAGGCGTCTGATCGGCATTCCCGATTTGCCCAAGCAGGTAGCCGTTGTTGCGCCGCAAGTTTAGGACGAACCTCTGAAAACTGTGAAGCTTTTCATCGTACTCCTCCGCAAAACTTTTCGCATGTACATGTTCCCCTTCGGAGGGAAAAGCCTTTCCTCTTCATAAAGTTAGTTAGCCAGCACCTGCTCGCTTTAAACTAGCTTCGCATTAGACCTTTTTCTAAGACTAATTGCATAGCCCGCACTTGAAGCAGTTCTGTCGTCACGGGCCGCTGTGCCGCTCGCTGCTCAAGCACATACTCGCCGAGCAGCTCTTTAATTTGCGGAAACCGACCCTGCTGTGGTCCACTGAAGCCTTTGCGTGAAGCTTTGCTGTCGACAATCTTCTACTTTTGTTTCCGCCAGTCCCGCACGCACGTTTCGGGAACTCCGAACGACCGCGATGCGGCCCTATTTCCGTCCGTTTCTGCACACGCGATGACTTTTCTTTAAAAGCGGCATCGTGGTGCACTCGAGTTTTTGGAGTCGGCCCTTCCATGCCGTCAATGCTAATGGACTACAAGATGACGAACTCCTCAGCACACGTACGAAGTGCCGCACATGGGAAACACATAGGCAGAAATGGACGACGCGCCATGTCGACGCACGTAGGGGGCGGCCATTTTGAAAATGCCGATGGCAATAGAATGACCGTATTCATTTTTTTTTTTTCCTACTCGATTCTAATGCGCATGCGATTTATGAACTCACTTAACCGCAAAAAAGGTGTGCATTAGATTCGAGTAATTACAGTACTAGCGGTTAAAACGTAGTTGCAATGAATCGCCAACTGAGTCTGGTAGAGACTGATGCATTCGCGGACAGCTTAAGGGGAGAGGTGGCGATCGAAAAAACCCTCTTTGTTTGTTGACCTAGAGTAACAAAATTTGGCAGGCATTCTGAAGAGTGTCTCGAATAGCTATATGTGAAGGTCCATTGCAACATCTCAAGTAGTTTTCCCCCGCAGGGGCGTCTGTGGGAGCAGGCGTTCGGTGCGTAGCGTCGCCACAGACCCAAGCTAACAAGGGAGTTTCGACTCCCTCCCACGCCTAGCCGTGCGTGGCTTTGCCATGTCTGGGGAAAACGGGATCCTGGGGGTTGAGCTGACGCCGGGTGATTGGACCTTTAAGGCCCCCCGGCAGAGGCAACACACTCCTTAGGCCCTGGCCCCTGGCTTCATGTAGACGGCACCCCTGGACTGACCCACCCAGGGGAAATCGGCAGTTGCCTTTTCCTATCTCTCTCCCCTACAACTTCATCTTTAACTCTCACTGTGTTATCTTTCCTGTCAACTTCTCCCTTCTGTTTACTTTCGATTTTTCCTGGCGGCAAGGGCTAACCTTGTGTATGTGCTCTGTCTTGGGCACAATATATTTGGTTATAGCGGCTGTGTACAGCTCACGTTGACATGGCTCGTATAATTTTAGGACCTGTCACGTCCCCGTGTTGGGCTCCATGGTGGGCGGCTGGCATGGCTGCCGAACTTACACCTATTTTATGGCTTTTACTTCTCTCCCTTCAATGCACGATCGCCCTCTCTCGAAGAGAGGGCGCAACGAAGACATTTGCGATTATTTCAGAAAACCCAAAGAAACTTTTCCCCGCTACCATGTAATTCACTGTGAAACTGCTCAAAAGAACGCCAGAACAATCTCGCCTTTTGTTGTCTCCAAATGCCTCACCACTGCACTTGGCCCAGGTTACCAGGCTACAAGAATGGCCAGTGGGGATCTCCTCCTCAAGATAAAAAAGTCAGACCCAGTATGAAAACCTCTCGAAACTAAAATCGTTTGGAAACATTCCTATCTCAATTACACCACACCACTCCCTCAACATTTCCCGAGGCGTTGTTTTCGATCAAGACTTGCTTAGCCTGACTGAAGGTGAGCTCCTCGAGGGCTGGAAGGACCAGCAGGTGACACAAGTACAAAGAATCAAAATCGGGCGTGATAAGACGGAAGTCCCAACCAAACATATAACTGTGACATTTTGCACCTGTACCCTGCCTGAACATCTCAAAACAGGATACTTGAAGTTAAATGTGTGACCCTACATCCCCAACCCACGACGTTGCTTTTTAAGGGGAGACGCTCCTTTTTTTTTTTAGTTCTAGTGAAAGACACTTGAGAATTTTGTTATTAATATAGTTTTTAATGGAGATTTCAAACATGCAATCATATTTTGTGTAGCTGCTATAGTTATTGAGTTATGCCATGCACAATAGCAAAAAGTTGCATGTCTTGCCGGTACTTTTTCATGTACTTAACTTTCAGTAAAAGCATTCTGTCCGATCTTATTTGACTCTTGGTAGGTTGTGAAGTGCAAATATCTATCCAGATATGTCACAGAAATATTAGAACCAAGAAATAAATCGTATTGAATGAATATATATATTCAATCTCCCTTGAAACAATAACCTAATATTTTCACAACTAATTCTAGTAGGCATTGCAATTTCAAGTAGATATTTGCATTCTGCATGTGTTGAAGAATATGTGTGCCAAGTTTTGTTACTGTACGGTAAGTATAAGTGTCTAAAAGGCTGCTCGGAAAACGTGAAATTGTAAAGAAAAAATGAAAATAAAAAAAGTTTGAAAATTTGGAATGTTGGCATTTATTAGGAAACCATTTTTTTGCATCAAATTGGGGCACAATGAAAAGCAGCTTGCACTGAATGTTTAGAAGACCGAAAATCGCACAGAATCACAGAATCGTGAAAGTTGGTCGTGGCATGTGCCTATAGCGTGTGCTGCCAGAACTGCCTTCACGTTTACAGCAAAGCTATCATGCGAGCTGCCGCTGTCGAAACGAGCGCTTCTTCCTTGGTCCCTGGCCAAAGTAGCACGTCTCGAGGTGTGCGTGAGTGAAAGTGTAGATTCAGGACAATTAGTATTTTCACAGCACAGTTCGAGGAATGCTGAAAGCCCTTTGCGCTTTCCAGCTACTTCTCGGACGCCCGAGTTTTCTTTTGCGGCAGGTTGGGCATTGCGCACCCACCACAAGGGCAGTCAGCGCATCGATTTCGTAAAGCAGCGTTTTCGCAAGTAGCAGCGCCTGTTGGTCTATGTTCACTTTCAAAGAATCTGCTCTTTATTTGGGATGCACTGACGAATTCCACAGCAGCGGCTATTTCACAACCACTGTCACCACGGGCTTCGGTGTTAGTGTTAGGCCTATCGGCGTTCACTGTCGCTTTGGGAAGCATCCAACGCCGTTTTTCTCTATACTTGGGGCTAGTTCTGATCTTTCGATTATCTAGACTGCGCTTCTTGTGGCTTGCCATGATGCAAAACTGCAGAGAAACGCCGAACAACTCGATCGCGACATCCGAGGCTTCGCTCTTCTGCCGGAAAGATAGGACGGGGAGGAGGCGGAGCGCACCGCCGACCGATGGCGGTAGAGTGCTGCTTGCCGCGATATTCAAAACGCGTGGTGCATGCGTTGTTTTTCTTGTTTTTTATTTATTCTTTGTGAAGATACGAGACTGGCTACTAGTGGATTGTGAAGGAAGAGGCCTTCTTTCGCAGAATGCGCACACGATTGCAAATGGCGGGCAACATATTGTTTTCGCGACGGGACAACGCAAACTACGCCATTTTTAGCGACTTTCGCGCATTTCTCACGTCACCACTCCCCACTTGGAGGCATTTTTAGATCATTTCTCATGCGAATTTCAGCTTGATATTTTCAAAAGCAAAAAATTATAGTACAAGGATGCCAATACAACAGGAAAAAAAAAAGCGAAAATTTTTCCGAAAAACCACGACTTTTTGACCCGCATCTCCCCTTAAATGCCAGCGTTTTGGTCACGGCTCTCAGAGTTGCCGCGGCCAACTCACCTGTGCAAAGTGCGCCACCACAGGACATGCCACAGACAATTGTAAGATGGAGGATGGGGCCCACTGCGCAAACTGCGATGGTGCCCACCCTGCATACTCCCGAACCTGTCCAACATGGAAAAAGAAAAAGAAATAGTTACAATCAAAGTCACACAAAACATATCTTTTTTAGAAGCCTGACAACAGGTATCTGGTTTATTCTCAAATAAACCATCGTTCGCCGATGTAGTGCAACAGAGGGCAGCACTACAACGGCCTGCGGCAGCTGCCCATGCCAGGCACAGTGTGGCCAGGTTGCCAATGCCCCCTCCCACAGTGGGAACAGCCGAGGCTGCTCTGCCACTCGTCCCCATGGCCATACCAGCGGCCACTGGAAGCTCTTGCAGCAGCCAGGGTAACCCAGCAGCAAAGAAGGTCCCCTCGACCTCTGGCCCGATGGGACCAAAGGTTACACTTCCTGAGGTGAAGGAGACCTCAGGGTCGGCATATATAAAGGCCTCGGCTCACCAGGCGAGACCCCAAGCTTGAAACACCAGCTCGCGAATGCGGGCACGCAGTGCCTTTGAGGAGGCAATGGACACCACGGTACGTACCCCTGGTGCCAAAAGATCGGCGTAGCCCCACCGCGGTGGTCTAGTGGCTAAGGTACTCGGCTGCTGACCCGCAGGGCGCGGGTTCGAATCCCGGCTGCGGCGGCTGCATTTCCGATGGAGG